TTGCCTCCACCTTGGAGAGGGGTTCTCATAGACTCATAGACTTAAAGGTCAGAAGGGACCATTATGGTCATCTAGTCTGACCTCCCGCATGATGCCGGCCACAAAAGCTGACCCACCCACTTTCCCTTAACTCAGCTGTTGAAGTCTCCAGATCGTGATTTAAAGACTTCAAGTCGCAGAGAATCCTCCAGCTTGCGACCCCTGCCCAATGCTGCGGAGGAAGGCGAAAAACCTCCAGGGCCTCTGCCAATCTACCCTGGAGAAAAATTCCTTCCCGACCCCAAATATGGCGATCAGTAGAACCCCGAGCATACAGGCAAGATTCTCTAGCCAGACCCACATTTTACCAGCGATGGCACTTTATTACCTAATTGACTAAAATCACGTTATCCCATTAAACCATTCCCTCCATAAACTTATCTAGCCTAATCTTGAAGCCAGAGAGGTCTTTCGCCCCCACCGTTTCCCTCGGAAGGCTGTTCCAAAATTTCACCCCTCTGACGGTTAGAAACCTTCGTCTAATTTCAAGCCTAAACTTCCCCACGGCCAGTTTATATCCATTCGTTCTCGTGTCCACATTAGTACTGAGCTGAAATAATTCCTCTCCCTCCCTGGTATTTATCCCTTTGATGTATTTAAAGAGAGCAATCATATCCCCCCTCAGCCTTCTTTTGGTTAGGCTAAACAAACCGAGCTCCTCGAGTCTCCTTTCATAGGAAAGGTTTTCCATTCCTCGGATCATCCTAGTGGCCCTTCTCTGTACCTGTTCCAGTTTGAATTCATCCTTTTTAAACATAGGAGACCAGAACTGCACACAGTACTCCAAATGAGGTCTCACCAGCGCCTTGTATAACGGAAGGAGCACCTCCTTCCCCTACTGGAAATACCTCGCCTAATGCATCCCAAGATCGCATTAGCTTTTTTAACAGCCGCGTCACATTGCCGGCTCATAGTCATCCTGCGATCAACCAGGACTCCGAGGTCCTTCTCCTCCTCAGTCACTTCTAACCGATGCGTCCCCAGCTTATAACTAAAATTCTTGTTAGTCATCCCTAAATGCATCACCTTACACTTCTCACTATTAAATCTCATCCTATTATTATTACTCCAATTTACAAGGTCATCTAAGTCTCCCTGCAGAATATCCCGATCCTTCTCCGAATTAGCAATACCTCCCAACTTTGTGTCATCCGCAAACTTTATCAGCCCACTCCTACATTCGGTTCCGAGGTCAGTAATAAATAGATTAAATAAAATCGGACCCAAAACAGAACCTTGAGGAACCCCACTGGTGACCTCCCTCCAACCTGACAGTTCCCCTTTCAGTACTACCCGCTGCAGTCTCCCCTTTAACCAGTTCTTTATCCACCTCTGGATTTTCATATCGATCCCCATATTTTCTAGTTTAACCAATAATTCCTCATGCGGTACCGTATCAAACGGTTTGCACTGTCTCTTGAGTTTCTGTATGGAACTCCAACTACTTGTGCTTAAGGTCAGCCCTGCATTAAAAGGCCAATAAAGCATTAACAACAGGTCTGCTCACAACCCCAAGAAACTTACCCAGTTAAGTACCCAATAATATTTTGCAATTTCCTAGCACCATTTATTGGACAGTTTAAACATAATTTATAACCATTAATAGATTAAGCCTCACAACATCCCTGGGAGGTAGGTAAGAAAGACCAATGGAAAAATTAGCCACAGAGAAGAGGAAGCAATTTGTCTAAGGTCATGGAGCAAGGTATACAGAAGGTCTGACTAGATGATCACAATGGCCTTGGAATCTATGAAATCCAAGTTTCAGAGTAGCAGCTGTATTAGTCTGTATCCGCAAAAAGAACAGGAGTACTTGTGGCACCTTAGAGACTAACGAATTTATTTGGGCATAAGCTTTCGTGGGCTACAGCCTACTTCATCGGCTGCATAGAATGGAACACACAGAAAGAAGATATTTATACATACAGAGAACATGAAAAGGTGGAAGTAGCCATACCAACTGTAAGAGGCACATGATGGCATATATCATGTTGGTAGATGTACAGGTGAATGAGCCCCTGATGGCGTGGCTGATGTGATTAGGCCCTATGATGGTGTCGCTCATTCACCTGCACATCTACCAACGTGATATATGCCATCATGTGCCAGCAATGCCCCTCTGCCATATACGTTGGCCAAACCGGACAGTCTCTACGCAAAAGAATAAATGGACACAAATCTGACATCAGAAATCATAACATTCAAAAACCAGTGGGAGAACACTTCAATCTCTCTAACCACTCAGTGACAAACCTGAAGGTGGCAATTTTGCAACAAAAAAACTTCAAAAACAGACTCCAAAGAGAGACTGCTGAACTTGAATTAATATGCAAATTAGATACAATTAACTTAGGTTTGAACAGAGACTGGGAATGGTTTGGTCATTACACTAATTGAATCTATTTCCTCATGTTAAAATATGTTAAAATATCCTCACACCTTCTATGGGTCATCTCGATTATCACTTCAAAGGTTTTTTTCTCTCTCCTGCTGATGATAGCTCATCTCAGTTGATTGGCCTCTTACAGTGTAGCCCACGAAAGCTTATGCTCAAATAAAGCGGTTAGTCTCTAAGGTGCCACAAGTACTCCTGTTCTTTTTATGAAATCCAAGATTAGCAATAGAAATAACAGATCTCAGTGGAGTTACACCATAGAATCATAGAATATTAGGGTTGGAAGTGATCTCAGGAGGTCATCTAGTCCAACCCCCTGCTCAAAGCAGGACCAATTCCCAACTAAATCATCCCAGCCCAGGGCCAGCTCCAGGCACCAGTCAACCAAGCACGTGCTTGGGGCGGCACCTTGGGGCAGGGCAGCACTCGATTTTTTATTTTTATTTTTTGGATTCGGCGGCGTGGCGCTCGGAGGGTGGGGCAGGTGCTTCGGGCGGCGCGGCGCTCGGAGGGAGGGCGGGGGCTTCGGGCGG